GTCTCCCGTCGATTTCTAAGATGTCCGTGACCGACTGGATGACGTTGAAGTAGAAGTGGGAATCCCCCGGGACCGAGCAATTGAGCCGAGCTTTGAGGAAGGATGTCCATTGCTTCTCCAACACTCGCTGCGACCCACCCATGTCGTTCTTGCACACTCGAGCCACCCGCGAAACCACCACCTGCGTATGGAGGAAGAGAAGTGAAACAGCGGCAAGAGAAAGGGTAAGAGGAAAGTCTGTCCCGTTTTGCTTTTTTGGAATAAAACCTGGACTCGGGAAAGGTTTCCCACTGAGAGCCAGACAGACGCAGAGCTTGGTCCAAAATCACAAGTGACTTGGAACTGCTTCACAGCTCAAAGTCACTGGATGCTGGATACTGATGCTGAGCACTGAGTGATGGGCTTTGCAGTAGCCATTCTGGACTGTGTTGGTACTGACCTTCTCTAAGTAGTTGAACTCCATCGCGATCTCCCTGAAGAAGAAGTAAACGTGGCTTTTCCACTCCACAGCGTGGACAAAGTAGGGTTCTGCACAGGGAAGGTGGGGATATAAAGAAAAGAAAAGACAAACTATGTATCGCCAGGGCTAGATTGGGGAAGGCTCTTTCAAAGGACAACCATGGTTACAAGGTCTTGATCCCTGGGACCTATTCACACTATGCATTTTAAAACAGTGGGTACATCCACAGCAAACCAGCATGGCATAGTGGTTTGAGCTTTGGACTATGACTCTGGAGACCAAGGTTCAATTCCTTGCTCAGTCATGAAACCCAATGGGTAAACTTGGGAAAGTCACACTCTCTCAGCCTCAAGGGAAGGCAACGGTTAAAACCCCTCTGAAGAAACTTTCCAAGAAAACCTCATGATAGCTTTGCGTTAGGGTTGCCATAAGTTGGAAATGACTTGAAGGCACACAGCAATGGCAACAACTTGGAGGAGGAAGCAAGTGATAACTATAATTAATTCATTCATTCCTTTTTTTTTAAAGTTAGATTTCCTTGTTTAATTTTTGAAAGAAAGTTTCAAAAGAAAGCAGAGCACATATGCTGGCTGCTAATATTTGTGCGTCATGTTTTGCAATTTCTGCAATTACGTAGCATCCTTCCTTAGCTTTACATATTTCTTTTGCTAGACGGTTTGCATTAACAAAAATTGCTACTCCTCTCTCCCCCCCCCTCCACCGATGAATAAAAAGAGTTGTCCTAAATGAGGATTTCTAATGAATCTAGTATTGCTTTCTCTCTAACTTTCGTTCCTTTCTTTCTTTTTGAAAAAAAAACCCAAACCAATTATAATATAATTTTCAAAAGTTAGGTTTCCAAGCTAAGGCTTTTGCAAACTCTTTCCCAAAGTGGATGGAGAGGGTTTAAATCAGTTGATGGAGGGAGGAAGTCCAATGGATGGATCGGTCCCCGCTGTACCTTTGAACCATTTGGAGTCATGCTTCACGGTGCGCAGGGTCGGACTGTCGCCCAGGCTGCGATAAATCACGGCATCGATGGCCAGGAAATCGGTCACGGTGGCAGTGAAGAGCATCCCTCCTGCCATGGCAAGAGACAGAAGGAGAGAAAGAGAAAGAGAGAGATGGTGAAGAATGGATGAGAAATGCCATCAGGGAAAGAAGGAGAGTCAGGGATGCTCTTGGGTGGCGGGCATTTGGGTCTCAATTTGTGG